ATTAAGCTTTATTTTAATAAAATATTATTTTTCATGGCTGTACATATCTATTTTAGTTAATTCTAGACACTTTCTGAAAAATTGTGTATATTTTATTTTTGCAGAAAATATTTTAATGCACATTTTCCGTTAACCGATTTCAATAAATCTTGGCAAATGGATATAATTCCACAAACTTTTGAAATAGGTTTTTTTTTATAAAAAAGTTATAATTATTGTTATTTTTATTAATTTTCTTTTTTTTCTCCTTACGTCTGTAGCAGTAGCTTTAGTGATGTTGAGCACTTGAATCAAAGAAACGTCCTCAACCAGCGACCCTTGAATAGTAGTCAGTTTGTGCAGCAGATTTGCTTCTAACTCCTGCATCTTACGTCTGTTCGCTGTCACCTCCATGATCAACTGTGTACGTTCACTTTCCAGTTCCGATTTTTCAGTCATAATTACGCGACCTAGCAATTGATCCTCCAGACCTAATGAGGAAATACAGGTTTATTCATTTATTATATGGACAACAAAACAGATAACAATCAAATTACATTGATACAAATGTAACAGGTTAACTTTACCGCGTTACACTTATGTAAGGGGACGTGATTCTATCCACTAATACAAAATACTCTTGCTGTTGGGTTAACAATGGAATTACAACAAAATCTGTTAGTGGCATACCGAATTGGTCACACTAAAGTCGCTTGGAAGAAATTGCTACTTGGCTATGATTCCACCTGTTGTACATTAGCACATTATGTTGTACGTACATTTCTATTCGGTCACGTTACAATATTTTTTTATGGCAATAAAAAAAATATTCTTTCCTTCCTAAATGCTATAACCACATTCGACCAAAATATGTCAAAAAACTGATTTTTGTTTTTGAAAGGGTCCCCTTTTTTAGAAACAGAATATAATTAATTTAAATTTAGTTTTATTTTTTTTAGCACATTGTAGATAATTATCTACTTGATTCGCAGTATGCCTGTTAAATGGCAACGTTGCGTCACCAGAGCTATATGTCAAAATCACAAAGTTAGTTTCAACGGACTATAGAACTTTACCTTGCATAGTGACAGTGAAGTCAATAATAGATGTACGCGCCGATATCTCAGGAGTGTAAGCGGGATTTGGCAACTTCGTTGTTATATATATTTTGTGCCCTTCAGTTACGTCAATTTCCTTATCTCCCAATTTTACCTGAAATTTGTAGTTGATAAATTGGGTTTTGTAGCACGTAGCAGCTGACACCAGACAAATGAAAAATTAAACATTCAGTCGTGCAGCGTGCTAACGCCATAATATAATCACACAAGTAGTGTAACTCCATACTAATGTAGCAGCTCGGCTTGTAATGGTGTGCACGCCCGCCGCGCGCCGTGTACGGAGTACGGATGCATACGTTCGCATAATCTCGCGGTGCACTAGAGTTGCATAGCGCGGATCGCACGAGTGTTTAATATATTTCTTTCGTGTCAAATTTATGATTTTTTTATTTATATACGGATTGTTATGAATATTATGCAAATTTCATTCGCAATTTAATTCATCAACGCACATTGACTTACAATTATTATGGACGTCGGGTCCGCGCTAAAAAGTGTCCGCACATGTAAGGCGCTAAAATCGTATACAGAGCGCGACACTCCGCTTTAGTCTTCATTTGTTCTACGGACAGCGCGATACTGCGATGACATAACAATTTAAATTTGGAATAGGTTGACTTGGGACATTTTTTTCGTGGTTTTTTGTATTAGACCCGTCGTCCATTTATTTGTAAGTCAATGTCAACGCATTTAATTTTCATGATCATACTACCACAATCGAGATAGTAATCTGCGATACTGGTACACATGTTACTATTTAAATTATCAATTTTTTTATCGTGCAATATTATTTAATATTCGAGTATAGCATCGTGAAATATTATTTAATAATTACACGATAATATACTTGAATATTTAAATAATAAAAACTGCCACAGAATGTAAGTAAGTGAACACTAGTCTGAGAATGTCCGCAACATGTAAGTGCAAGTACCTAAATATTTTCTAATTGTGTTTACTATCTGTAGATACAATTAAAATAATAATGTGATAACCGTACGTTTCGAACGATGCATTGACACGTCGAGCAAGCGGGAGTTGGACTAATTGTCTTATTATATAAGAGATTAGCCTTTATGACTTGATTAAAGGTCACAAATTCTCTAAGATGCGACCAGGAATACAAGTCCGACCCTTACACCATTAATTAAAAGTCACCTACGCGAGCGCAAGCCAAGATACTCAACATTGAACCGCAAAAAATACGTACAATGGCGTAATTCATGTGTTGTGAAATAGATAAAATACGAACTTTGAAGGAAGATCCGATCTTGATGTAGTTTTTTTCCAAAACATTATCAAGTACTGGATCAAGTTCTTCAGAGACATCTTCTATCAACATTGGTCTGCCTAGAGACACACAGTCTTCTATGTGGTTTCTGTAAAGTAAATCACCCCCATCTACGCTTATCAGGATATTTTGTTGTGTAGCTGGTTTGACTACTCATGCATGTCCAAATTTTGTTGGGCATTATAGAATACATAAAAAATTAAAAAAGAGAAATACAAAATGAAACCATTAGAATAGATATTAGAATGTATTTTCGGATCTAATTCGCCTATTATAACAAATCGTCTTTATTTAATATTACACTTAACTTTACCATCTCAGTCACCCGTGACCATGGGACCTGTAAAGGGCCTGAAACGGTAGTTTGTTTGAAAAAAACAAATGTATGCGATTTAGATCAGAAAAAATCTGTGGAACTATCGCGAAAATCTAAAAACTCGATAAGACAAATTTAACAACAAAGAAATAGAACACATCCTTCAACAACTGCAAATGCATCCACATTAAGTACCTACAGTATTACAATTTTGCCAACAAACCTGAAGTACTTATGATTGAGTGTAGTGACGATAAGATCATTGTTTTTCTCCATATTCTTAATCCAATTCTTGCCCTGTGTCTGAGGATCTATAAGCAACGGGAACCGCGCTGCCTTCGTTACAATGATGCCGTTCTGAATGGACAACTCGTCAGTCGGCAGCCCGCATAAGTTCCACTCGCCAATCTGTTTAGATATTTAGAAGAAAAAGTAGAAGGACGATACAGAAATTCCCTGTTCTTGCCGTTTAGCATTACAAAAATTGAGAATATGTAATTAGTAATTATATAATCATATATACCACAAATATTGTTTATTTAGTTAATATAATAGCCACTAAAGTATAAATCTGACCGTCTAAACGACCTTTTGGTTCTGAGCATATAAGTGCGAAGAAAAATTTTAAATGAACAATCTTTACCTTGTGCGTAAAAAAACCATTTTAGTATAACTTCCCGACATTTTTTAATGAAATGTATTACTAAGTAGCGGGCCAGAGGGCGCCCAAGTGGGCATGTACCTCGGCTCAGGGCGATACTGGGGACTTCCGCCAGAAGGGCGTGTTGTAAGAACGAATCTACTGGTATACGTGATGAAATGACGGGGCTCTGCGACCTCGCCGGCGAGGTAATATGTATGGAGTAGGTATGGAGTTGGAAAGATTAGCGATCTGGTTGGCCTTTAAAGTAGCGAGTGTGATGGGGTCGTCAGTATCGTTCAGGACTTGGCCGACGGGTCTTACGAATCCGGTGGAGGTTTTCCCGGAGGGGGACGTTATTAGAAGCAGCCACTACGAGGGGATTGGGATGAAGGAGCAGAGTCGAAGTATTTTCTCGATGCCTGTTTCATGTACGGCGGGTTATGCGATATATAAATTAATAATGCCGCATTAGATGCAAGAGATATTTATTGGGAAGATATTTATAATGTGAACTGATTACAGACAGATGGAAAACGTAACTAATAAAAAAGTGAATAAACTTAGGCTACGGAAACCAAAGAACATATTATTGGCAGATTTTTACATATAAGCAGATTTTTTTTATTAATTACCGTAGCAGTATCCGTAAGTTGTTCCGTAATATTCAAACTCATAGATACGGGTATATGTCTCTTTGATAAGTCGCTCATCCAAGTACCCAACAACATGGTGCGAAATTCTTGGTTAAAAGGCCCAGCATAAGACAAAAAACTGCAATATTTTAATATTTCATATAATATCAACTGGCTTTTGAGATACACCCGGTACGCCTACGTTCTTGCAATTATTATTCTTTCAAGTCACAGTTAACTTACCCGATCAAAATTAAAATATCACCGACAAGCCGGTCTATCTCAGACATGAACAGTGCCGACTGTTCGGTCCATCGTATTCTTTCCCCGCTCAAACCGTTAATTAGGGCTGTCGCAGCGTCCATCTTTTGCTGGCATTTAGCCGCGTCGTCCAATACAGCTTTTTGCAGAGTCATGGCGTCATCGAACTGCTTTTGTACATGAGCTAATTCACGCTAAAAATTTTAGCAACGTGCATATAAATATTAACTCGGTATAGTTGAAGCTTATCAGTCACCGTAAGATGGAAACATTCAGTTTAACGTCCATATAATACCCATATTTAGCGTAATATTAAGGGAGATACATGCAGAAATTTTCGTGCAACATGTATAGAGGTTATACATGTGTATGACCAGGAAAGCAAACTATCATATGTAAATAAACTTTTAGTAGCAGTAGAGCTCCTAGTCAAAGAGTTCGTCCAAAGAATTAAGCCATAGATTTAGTATATTATATACTAAATCTATGGTTTTGACCAATTGTTTGTGTATGTTTTGTAAGTTATCCTAAATAAATAAATAATAATTAAATATAAACTTATATTGCATATAATTTGTTTAATACACTTAACAATTAATTTAAACATTTCATTTAATAATTTGACACTTAAGTACCTATACTGTAAAATGACATTTCCAGTTTGTAACATTAGTATTATAGAAAGCAAAAGAAAAAAATTCGGGAGATTTTTCGCTGCATCTGGCAATCTCAAAAGAAATGTAAAGCTACCTTCACTTCGTTTGTTGCGTATGCTCCATCTGTCTATTGTTTTGTAATCTGAGCTGCTATTACTCCGTTCCGATTTTGAAGGGTAAGGGTGTTGGATAAATTATTACAGGCACAATGGACTTGTCAACTTATGGCTCAGTGTGGCAGTGCCCCTCAGATCTTTGGGATTTATAGCTCTGAATGGCTCTGCAACTGATATGGACCGGAGTGTCGGCTTCACTCACTCACACAAATCACTTGGTACCATAAAACATGGAAATAAACTAATCTTTGAATATAAAATACTAACTAATTAATCGTATTTTAGAGTTTAAAGTATGAAATTACCCTTCCGTAGTTTTTACTTGGAAACTATAAACTTCAAACTTTACTCCAAATACATAAATAAATATATAAATATATTTATTTTATTCGTTTCAATTACATTTGCATTCCCTGCGAAATAAAACATTTATTGTAAATTTTTAATACGAATTCCGACCTCGGCACTATTACTGGCACTAAGCGTATTGCACGTCATTTTACTCGAGCAGTGGCACCAAACGAACTTACGAGACAATGCCCTGCGTATACAGTATAACAATGCATTCCGGATGCTGTTGAGGCTACCGCGCCAATGTAGCGGGTCATAAATGTTCGCTAAGCCGAGTACTGAAGGCTTTCCAGCAATAATGAGAAAGAAGGCCGCTTCTTTTCTTCACCGTGCGCTGGCTACAACGAACAGCATATTGGCAACACTCGTGAACTGATTTGATGGCAACACTCGTGAACTGATTTGATAGTAACTTGGCATCTTATAAAAAGGGTCATAGGTGTTATTTAAATCCAGAAGTTTTACGTAATGTAATGAAATTTTAATAAACACTAATATAGTTGCTAAGTCTTACTAACAAACTGGATTTTTTTTCTGTAATAAAGTATTATTATTATTAGTACAATGCAGCGGAAGTGACTCGAACCTTGCAAGAAGCCAGTACTACTAAAGAACAGACAATGCGTTATTGTCTATCTGTGTGCTGATTTTGATTCAAATCGGAATCGATCCGATCGAGTAGTCTCAAAATCAAATGGGTTTCTGAGCGAAAAGATGACCTGATTCCTACTATATCTTTCTAATTTGTGAATTAAATCAACTATTGTTTCGATCACAAATATCAAAAGTTTCCGATCGGCCAGTTGCGATCGCAATTATGCGCCTCGACTCGGAAGAGACTCAGTTTCCGATCGGGAGAAGCAATCAAAATCAAGCTGCTGGTTCCGTAGAGCAAATTTTAACTTGCAAATACGCCCCGTTGACAGTCAGTGCTCAAGCACTATAAGGTAAATTTTCGAAACTGATCCATCGCCAACTAGCGTGGAATCGGCAGCATGATTATGATAATTGTAAACGACACACACGGTGGTAAGCACTTTCCAAAAAGTTACTTATGCGCAGAAAATTGTTGATTGATCCAGAGTATTTTTTTTTATAATACGAAGCGACGGGACGCACAAGTCATGCGTCTGGTGATAAGCGACACGCCTGTCCATAACGGTTCCAGTGCCACTCAGAGCTCAATCGCAAAGATCTTAGGGGCACTGCCACTATGCTCGTCACCTTGAGACATAAGTTGACAAGTTCCACCATGTGCCTGTAATTTCAGCAGCACCCCTTATCCTTCGAAACCGATTCTCCGCAGCTTCCTTAAATCTAATTAAGGAGCTTTCCAGTAAGATGCATGTTTTGATTGAATAAATGTTAAAACATTTTTCAATTGTATTCTCCTATATGAAACGACTATATCTTACTTTAATGCATATTATTTGTAATGAGTTGTATTTATAATGATACACGATGCTGAATAAAGTTTAGAGTTTAAGAAAAGAGAATAACTTATTTGGAGCCACAAACGCACCTCTTTTGCTGCCAACAATGCTTCCGCAGCGTCTAGTTCCTTTTTAGCACTTTGATATTTGCCTTGCATGATAGCCAAGTTTGCCTTCAAAGGTAATACGTCTTTATTGACAGCATAGAATTGTGCCATAGCAATAGTCCATGAAATCAGGCCGGCAACGTTACCGCAAGCTACTTTTGCTGCCTCAAACGTATATTGACTAGAATTTGAAAATTCGTTTTTATAACATGTAAATGACAAAATTAATAAAATGAAATTTAATAAAGTAATAAATCAAAATTAATCAATCGCTAATTGTGCACAAAACTAAAAAAAAAAAGACGTGTTTAGCACCTGCCTGCGCCAAACGGCGTATAAGCCGAGTATTCACTAGCGAGCTGTAAACGTAACTGTTGCATGTTATGTTACCAAAAATCATGAGTGTAACATGGTTCAAGAGCTTGCCGCGAGCGGAACTCGTGCGGTTCGCAGGGAGCCGACGATAACCAAGTACTCATTCTAGTCACACTACCGTGCCACATTACCGTATCTGTCACGTTACAGTTACAGCTCGCTAATGAGTACCCGGGTTAACATAGCTTCGTAGGTCCCTAAAAATGACATAGCCGAGTACAAAAAGTATAAATGGCCGCACTCCGCATTACTTACGGAAAATTAAAATAAGGTTGTAACAAATCAACCATTTCAGCATTGATTTCGTCTTTAGGATAATTTTTCAAGTTGCTCAAGAATCTTGCATCGGCCATAACCTTCGATAAACAAATACGTAAACAATATTAGACAGAATCCTTATTTTTACAACAAAATACGTAATAATTACGTACGTAATTTCAACAAGATACGTAAATTGAAGTAGTTTGTTTGCCAAAACGTGTGTAGTTCAGTTATTGGCTCCACTCTAGGTAAAATCTTCAGGTTACCAAGTCTGGAGACCTGAATATTTCAAGAGTAAAAGGCAGGCTTTCAAAACACACAGAACAATTATCTACAAATTAATAAAAATATAAACGCAATTATATTACACCGGAAATAAATTGTTGTATTCATAAAGCAAAATTAACCTTCAACGATTCAGCCCACGATGCTGTCAGGAAATTTTTTTCTGGATCCGGCTTGATAGGATCTATTTTCTTTCTGAACAAGATGATTACAGCGTCCATAATGAGAGTGATCAAAAACGGTGGTTTACCTAATTTTCTCACTGTTGCAATATCAGCAGCATTGATAGTCTGAAAAATAAAAGTCAAATTTTAGTATAGAAATGTTAATTTGACATCTAGACGGACGTAAGACTTCGCTTACGATTAGTTCCGTTTTATTGTGTATGTTTGAAACTCTAAAAATGACAAAGATTGTTAGTCAGACTTTATGTATAACAAAAACATGGTAAATATTCCAATAGCACTACACATTACTTAGGGAGAATGCAGGATGTATCAAACAGGTATTATCTTAGCCGGCCATCGTAGTCACAATAACGCTTACTCAAAAACTAATATTTAGTTCCAAATAAATATTAGTTTTTGAGTTAAATAAAGTTTTTTGCGAACCAACATTAATATTCGCGGCAACTAAATTGGTTTCACATATCTTTCGATTGACTGCGCACGTTTTGGCATTCTAAGCTTGTAAAATTAACAATAACAAACTGGAGAAACAATACCTGCAAAGCAGCCTCAGCGGCGTCTAGAGCCGGTTTAGCAGCCGCGAGTTTATCCTCAGCAACTGCGGTTTCCGCCGCAATAACACTGACGAGGGCTACGGCCCGTTCCTTTACTTCCAGCACTTCTCCCTTCACTATTTCGGCTGCCGCTTGAGATTCTGCTACAGCCGCTAATACCTAGTTACATAAAAGTGTATTATGGACATATAGATGATTTATGTCCAAGATTAATGAAAATGAAATTAATTTAAATTAAAACATCACCTCATCAGCTTTTTCAGTAGCCACTTTGATCTCCTGTTCTTTGATTTCTAATTCCTTCTTCAATATGTCAACGCTAGCGCCAGCCTCTATAAGTTTATCTAAACCAGTTGTCATTCTGTAAAATGTTTATGTGTGTTGTAATATGTTGAATATTTATTATTATGTATTTATAGTGTTAAATTACTACACCGGCAAACCTTTTGGAAAATGATTCATTCTACACTAATGCGACTTACTAACTTTCTAATCAACATAATTTATTTCATTTATTGAATTTTTTTTTAAAACGCACAACTTTTAATACATAATGAACAGTGTAGGAAACGACGAGCTGTCTGTTGGCACAATCATTTATTGTAATGCTTCAACTTTTCTAAACTATTCGTTTGCTCTTATCGAATGCTTAGCTCAACCAAGTTTACACGTTGCAATACCGAATGTTCATTACCTCTATAGATTTTAAAGCTTTCGTGGTTATTCACTAAACGATTATCACTAATTTCAGGCTTCTTACCACGGTATGACTTCTTTTATTTTCCCGATGTTTCGGAACGGTTGCACGCTCCATGGTCACGGGTTGACATGACGGGTTGACATTCAACCTCGTCAACTATCTTAACACTGACGATAGACATTTATGAATAACATGGTAATTCACAATTAAACCAACCTTCTGGCCATTTCGGCGATATTTAAATGTTTATCTTTGTACAAAGATTTGTAACCTTCCAAGAAGCAAAGATATGACTTAGGGGTGACATGTGCCTGCCTCCTAAATCGATCGTAGTAGCTAACACACGCTTCTGCCACATTGTCTTGGACAGAGCCCATCATTTCTATTACTTGCATTTTTGTTTCTATAGAACATACAACCTGCGTAATAATGTTTATTTATTAGTTAACCGGCGGTACCTTAGAATGAACGGAAACCATTTTTAAAATTTCATTTCATTTCAACATTCATTTAAGTATCACTCCAAAAGTATCGACACCAGGAACTCGATATTAGGCTGGTTTTTTAGTCACGCGGCTAGACGCGCCGTTGGGTAGCGCGCTGTTGGACAGCGCGCGTTTGAACAGCGGTGCACTATAAAACGACATTAGTACGGCGCGTTTAGCTGCTGTGAGACAGTCGTGTACAAAATGAACGGCAATGCGGTTAGAGTACTGGCTATTTACTTTTTATGGAAAAAAAGGCAACAACAACGTCGAAGAACAGTAGGTGTTGATCCTTATAACGCTACAAGGTTACTGAGAGGCGAACACGTAACATCTTTCTCTGATTTACGAGAAAATAGTTATAAATTTTATAAATATTTTCGCTTATCAACCAGCACTTTCGACGAATTACTGTGCAAGTTAGAGTTTTCTTTACGAAGATCCAGCATACGTCGCATCCCCATAGCTCCAGTGGAAAAATTGGCGATTACTCTAAGGTAAGTGAAATAAAAGAGTAGGTTTTGTAATAAATGATAATATTTGTTTGGCTTATTTTAATCACAGTCGTATTTTAATTACAACCTAACACACTTATTCATAAATGCTGATTAAACCTATTTTAGTTAAAATGGTCTTAAAATCGGAATCTTCTCTTTCATTTTGCAAATATAGAAAAGAAACAAAACACTTGTAAAACCTATATTAACCTCACTCTTTTTTAATGAATAAGGGCATTATTTTAAATCACAGTCTTATTTTAATCATTGACTTATTTTAAATCACAGTCTTATTTTAATCATTGACTTATTTTAAATC